TGAAAAATCGTGCAATCTTTTCAATAGTTGAATTTTAGTTTTTACTATTTGTTAGGTAAATTCGTTTTATTTTTTTTTTTTTAAAAAAATATTGATCTTTCCCTATGATTGATCAACCTTTTCAAAAATGGTATTTTTTTGAAAAAAATGTGGATTATTTTTTCTAATTCTTAACTAAATTTACCAATATTTTTTATTAAATGTGTATATATATATATATATATATATATATATAGACAATCTATTTACCAAAAATATGAGCAAAAGAATAGGTCAGAATTTAATGCAGCCCATAAATAGTAAGTTTTACTTATTTTTTTCTTTAAAAATCATACATCATTAAATGCCACCTTAAATTTCAGTTTTAGTTCATTTCATTATTTTAAAAAATCAGGCTAAGATCTATTAAGTGTCCATGTTTTTATTTTTATTTTTTTTCTTAGAACCAATGAACAACGTTAAAATCTCGGTCTCTATGTTTATAAAATCTCAATTCAAAATATAACAAAAGTTTTAGAATATCGATCTCTATATTTGTGCCTTTCAAAAAAAATATTGAATTCTCAAAATATTATTTAAATTGTTAATTAATTAAATTAATCTTAATTTTTGGAAATCTATGTTTATATTTTATTAATATGCATAAAGTAAAATTAATTAATTCGTCTTTAGATATATAATTTATAATCTCAATATACTATCATTTGGTATATACATTTATTATATGAATCATAAAATATTTTTATTTCATAAAATTAAATATTTTAAAGAAAATAAGAAAATTCCTTTAGATCAATCGGGTGATTGAATTAGGGTTTGCCCAGGTTGATTAAATTACTTTTAGGTGGTATTTAAAATAGTCAAAATATTCACACAACTTGGTTGGTCCTATGTGACAAATTTATGTACAGTTGACCAGACCAAATTGATTATTGAACCTAAATTTAAATTTTAATATTGAAAGTACTTTATTACGTGAATGTGATATAATTCAAATTTCAAATAATCGTATTAACAATACTTCATGAAGCATGTTTAATAATTTATAATAAATTATATCTTTTTATTTATATTTATGTGAATAAAATACAGTAAATATAAGGTTTTCAGAATCAGACCATCATCGAAACGATGAAGTTATTATATTAAATCATCTGTGGTTTTTCAGATTTTTAATTTATGTATATCTTATTACATATGTACACATATATAGTACACTTTTTGTAATAAATTCAAATAAAAATGTGTTACTTAAATATCTAAACATTTTAAAAATTTCAATTGTTTAATCTAATTGATAAACAATTTATGAATCTTTTTCTTATTTAAATATGTAATTTTATTTAAAATGATTTTAAATGTAGCAAAATTTGTTTAGAAAATCGTATCGATCATACCAGTTCAACCAACTGGTGTTGACGGATTCGATAGCAAATATTTTATTCAAGCGAACTAGACTGGTTATAAACCGCTTCTCGGTCCACCCGGTCGGACTGTGACCAAATACGGTTTAATTGAAAATGATAGATCTTGATTAATGTTATTTATAACACAATCATAATATTACTTTGCCGTGCATTTGCACGGGCCAGGCACTAGTTATATATGTATAACAATCCTTATAACAAGAAGAGGTATTTCGTTTTTGTTTGCTTCTAAATGGATCGAAATTGATTTGATGGTGCCCCACAAGCTACTTTTCCAGATGGGATTAACATTTACATGTGCACTGTTGTGAGCGGCATTCATACTTCACCGTCCAAAATCTGGTCTGCATTAATTAAATCTTATACTAGCATTAATGGGTTCATCAATGGGTTCATCAGCTTATGAAATTTTACTTATACTGCATATACCAAACAGAGCACCCATAATCCATATTGGCCAAAAGTACTCCCCTTTAAGCATGGAGATGAATACTTTTTCTTTCATCATATTACCATCAATAGCTCTATTTTCCTTTCTATATTATTATTTCAAAATGTCGAAAAACAACAAAACTAACCGCCAGTCGTTGCCACCTCAGCTACCGGGAGCATGGCCCCTCATCGGCCACCTCCACCGCCTAGGTGGAAAAACCCCGGTGGCTCGGGTTTTAGGAGCCATGGCGGACAAACACGGATCGATCTTCTCTCTGAAGCTCGGTAGCCACCCGGCGGTGTTTGTAAGCCGGCAAAACCTCGTAAAAGAGTGTTTCACTACCGGCGACCGGATTTTTGCGAGCCGACCCGATATGTCCATCACCAAGCAAATCATCTACAAAGGCGCGGTTTTCGCGTTAGAGCCCAACGGGCCCTTCTGGCGCGATATCCGAAAAATTGTCACCGTTCATCTCTTTTCCAGCCAGCAGCTCGAAAAAATGAGGAGTGCACGGAAAATGGAGGTGGACTCGTCGATTGCGGATTTGTACTCGATGGCGATAGGAGAAAACAAGTCCCCTGCACTAGTGGACTTGAGCTCATGGGTCGAAGACTTGATCTTTAGCGTAGCCTTACGAATGCTAGTCGGGAAAGGCGAAAACGGGCGGGAAGAGCGGAGGTTGAGGGAAGGTATAAAGAAAACATTATACCTTAGCGGATTAGTTGTCGTGTCGGACGTGATTCCGTGGCTCGAGTGGATGGATATAGGCGGGTACTTGAGAGCTATGAAGACGACGACGGAAGACATCGATCGAATCCTCGAAAATTGGCTCCGAGAGCGCATGCTCGTTAAAAATGAGCACGATTGTTCGAATTCGAATCTCATGGATGTAATGATTTCCGAGCTAAACGAGAACTATGTTGTCGAGGGACACGACAGTGGCACCGTCATTAAGGCGACGATGTTGGTACGTTTTGCGTAAGTTGATATTATTCGGTTGCATTACGGTAAAATTGTATTTTTAGTCCTGCTAGTTTCACGCCATAGCAAGGTTTTAACATTCTTCATTTGGTCCTGTAATTTAATATTTTGTTGCAATTTAAGTCATTTGAAACTGAAATTGCGAATTCCTAAATTCACAGATTTTCGATTAACAATTTAAGTCCTATAATTAAAAAAAGAAAAATTTGTTGTAATTTTGGTCTTGTAATTTAAAATTTTATTGCAGCAAAATATTCAACCAAAATGCGAAAGTTAAAACCTTAGAACTAATTGTTATTGCGTTAAACCAACATGACTAAAATGAATTTTTGCCTTACATAAACATTACACTCGAGTTTTTGTTTTGATTCTGTTTTTTGGATTCAGATACTTTTGATGGCGGGCTGGGAATCATCGGCCGAGACTGTAATATGGGCCGTCTCGTTGCTTCTAAATAACCCGCTCGCGCTACAAATGGCTCAAGACGAGCTCGATGCGCAAGTCGGGCGGTGCCGGCTGGTCCAAGAACCGGACATCAAGAAACTAAATTATCTACAAGCGGTCGTGAAGGAAACACTGCGCCTTTACCCGCCGGGCCCACTAGCCGGGCCCCGTCAGGCATTGGAAAGCGGGTCTATCGGCGGGTACTACGTGCCCAAGGGGACCCGATTGGTGGTCAACTTGTGGAAGCTTCATAGGGACCCGAATGTGTGGTCCGACCCAGACGAGTTTCGACCCGAGAGATTCTTAGAGGAGCATAGCAATGTGGGGTATATGGGCACGAATTTCGAGTATCTACCGTTTGGTTCTGGCAGGAGGATGTGCCCGGGCGTGGACTTTGCTTTGCTTGTCGTGCATTTGGCACTTGCTCGATTGCTTCAAGGGTTCTATCTGTCGAAACCGACAGGTGCACCTGTTGATATGACTGAAGCTAACGGGTTAGCCCTATCCAAATTAAAGCCTCTCCTTGTTGTTCTTGTGCCTAGGCTTGGTAGAGAGCTCTATGAACATCTTTAAAACGTGTGCTTTTGTTTTTAGTTGTTTAAGTTTGTCTCGTTGAAATTTGAATAAGCAGCAACTACTTCAAGCTGCATAACATGGGATATATATTATTATATATATAGAAGATAAAACTCTAGTTCATACATTAATTTGCTTACATAACATATTGGTGTAGATAATTATTATTATTATTATTATTATTATTATTATTATTATTATTATTATTATTATTATTATTATTAGTAGTAGTAGTAGTAGTAGTATTTAATAGGTGTCTTAGAGAATAAGTTAGGATTTAATATTATTGTTTAATAAGTGATCTTGTCTTGTTGGACAAGTTAAGGTCTAGGCTTAGGAGCCTTATTTAAAGGCTCTTCTGCTTTGTTATGAAATAGTTGATTTTGAATGAAAAAATATATTGTTGAGTTTTACGTGTTTTACGAGAGAGTATCTCGTTTACTCGTTTTATCCTTCCCACTCGTACGCCTTCCCTACATTAGTTGATATCAGCAGTCAGTACGATTCGCGATGTCGCCGGGGCGACAAGATGCCGCAAACGAACAACGTGATGCAATCTTCTACAATCGGTTTCAACAGATTGACTACCGATTTGAAGAGTTGGACGTGCGTTTCACGGATTGGTTTGTCGATCTTTCGACGGGGATCGAGGATTTATGTTTGACGCTTAACAACGTGGTCTGGGATTTGCAGATGAACCGTGCCG